CACACCTACAGGCTTGGTGGCACCAAACTGACTAGCACCACAAATGAAAGGGACCTGGGGGTAATAATAGACCACAGTATGAATATGAGCCGGCAGTGCGATGCTGTAGCCAGTAGGGCAAATAATACTCTGGCATGCATCAATCGATACATCTCCAGCAAAACCAAGGAGGTGATTCTTCCACTCTACTTGGCACTGGTGAGACCGCAGCTGGAGTACTGCATCCAGTTCTGGGCACCATACTTTAACAAGGACGTGGACAAAATTAAGAAAATCCAAAGAAGAGCCACCTGTATGATCAGTCATAAAAGGCAAGCCATAGAAGAAAGGCTGAGGAGTTTCAAAGCCACCAGGGGGCATCACGGCTGCCCCTGCAACAGGCAGGCCTGTTGCAAGCAGGAATCAAAAGGGGGTGCCAAGTGTACCCCCCCGGATCCATCCCTGAATACATACCTTGCCTCGTGCTCACAGGTGGTTTTTTCCTATAGGCTAATGTTAAAAATACTTATTTACAAGGTCATGTGAAAGTTACTACTGGATCCCACAGCAATAAAGATATATTTCCCCAAATGTTGGGTCATAAGGTCAAGTGCTGTTAGTGAGGAACAAGGGTATGGACTGATACTGCCATTTTTATTCACCTCACATAGCTCCTGATGTCACAAGGAGCTCCTGGCAATTCAGTGGAAGTATCTGTAGAATTTGATACAGTGCACTCTGCCCAGGTGCCTCAGCTTGGGATGGAGAATGGGCTCTGCACTTCCCCAGAGCATGCACTTATACACATGATTAATGTTTCTAACGGACACAACAATATTAGGGCTGTGTTATTAGAAGCCATGAAACTAACCACCTCCCTTCATTTCCATGGCTTCTAATAACAGCCCTCTAACAGCTGCTTCCCTTTTGCTGTTTTTGGAGCAGCTGAAGGGAGCACTGTCACAACCCAAGGGTGTGATTTTTGTTTTTGTGTGCGCTTTGGCACCACTGAATTATTTTCCTGCCAATTCGTAGCTTTCTTTGCAGTGTGCATTTCTTCTTTGCAGCTAAGAAATGCTCGTTGCAAAGAGTTCCCGCCATTTGTATTATAATTCAAGCCCCATTATTGGCTTGCGTTAAATTATGCCCACATGGCGGCTAGTGATTGGCTTGCTAGCCGTATAAAAGGCTTGAGTGGTTTCTGCCCAAGTTGGAGAACTCCGAGGAGAACCCCGCAAGGGAGGACTCCACGAACACCAGGAGGAGGAGACTTCACGCTGTGTGAAGATCTCTAGGCACTGCGGAGCCTATCGGACCCAGCGCATTTAAAGCAGGCAACAG